GGAATGAAACGTTGGTGGATCCCTGGCAAACCCTCCGTAAGCAACTTAACACGGCGGGCAAGAGCTCTGATAAAATCTAACAACCCTCACCTGGCAGGTGGGAATTTAGAATTCAATTCTAAACTTTTAAAAGTTCTAAATTTTTCCAAGCCTGAAATTTAGTTTTTTTTATTTTTTAATTCAAAGCTGGATTTGGGGAAGTTGAACTAGTTCTTATTCAGATTTTTTGGATTTTTTCATTTTTAGAATTCAATTCTAAAATTCTAAAAATTCTGATATTTTCCAAGCTTAACATTTACTTGTTTTTAAATTTCAGGTATAAAATTTTAAAAACTCGACATTTTTCCAAGCTTAATATTCCTTTTTTTAATTGTTTAGACTTCAATTCTAAAATTCGAAAAATCAAATTTTTTCCAAGCTCAAAATTGAGAATTTTTAGGATTTTTTGAATTCAATTCAAAAACTCGAAAAAAATCTAATTTTTTTCACGCTCAAACTTTCGAATTTTTAGAGTTCAATTCTACAATTCCAAAAATTCTAAATTTGTCCAAGCTGAAAATTTAGAATTTTTATTCCCCACCTGCCAGGTGAGGGTTGTTAGATTTTATGTCAGTTGCCTCCTCGTCCTCCTCCTCCTCCTGCTCCTCCTGCTCCTCCTCCTCCTCCTCCGCCTCCTCCGCCTCCTCCTCCTCGTCCTCCTTGTCATCCTTGTCGTCCTTGCTCAACTGCGACCCGCGATCCACAGTGTTCTCTGCCGGACCTCAACCACGACCACCCGCGCCCAGTGTTCCCTGCCGGACCTCAACCACGACCATCCACGCCCAGTGTTCCCTGCCGGACCTCAACCACGACCATCCACGCCCAGTGTTCCCTGCCGGACCTCAACCGCGAGTATCCCCGCCCAGTGTTCCCTGCCGGACCTCAACCACGACCATCCACGCCCAGTGTGCCCTGCCGGACCTCAACCGCGAGTATCCACGCCAAAAGATATGCCACATAGAGTGCCAGAAGATATGCCAGATAGAATGTTAGAAGATATGCCAGATAGAATGTTAGAAGATATGCCAGATAGAATGCCAGAAGGTATGCCAGATAGAATGCCAGATAGAATGTCAGCAGATGTAAAGTGCCAGATGTTTGCCAGATGGAATGCCAGAAGATTTGCCAGATAATATGCCAGAAGATATGCCAGATAGAATGCCAGATGGAATGCCAGAAGATATGCCAGAACATATGCCAGAAGATATGCCAGAAGATATGCCAGAACATCTGCCAGAAGATATGCCAGAACTCTGCCAGAAGATATGCCAGGTAGAATGCCAGAAGATATGCCAGATAGAATGCCAGATCGAATGCCAGAAAATATGTCAGATAGAATGCCAGAAGATTTGCCAGTAACAAAATGTATAAATGTCATGGTGGGGATCACACGAAGTAAAGTATTTTTTTTCAAAAATCAAAAAAATATCGATCTTTTTCCAAGCTCAAAACTTAGATTTTTTATAATTTTTAAAACTCAAAGCTGGATTTGGGGAAGTTGACCTAATTCTAATTTAGACTTTTGAGATTTTTTTGAATTTTGAGAATTTAATTCAAAAAAATGTAACAAGTCTTAATTTTTCCAAGCTTAAAATTTAGAATTTTTAAGATTATTATAATTCAAAGCTGAATTTTTAGATTCAGTTCTAAGAATCTGAAGTTTCTAAATTTTTCCAAGCTTAAAATTCTTTTTTTAGCATTCAGTTCTAAAATTCTGTTTTTTTTCCACGCTCAAAATTTAGAATTTCTAGAGTTCAATCCTAAAAATCAAGGAAAAAAAACTAAATGTGTCCAAGCTCAATTTTTGGGAATAATTTATATTCAATGCCAAAATTCAAAAAAACATCTACATTTTTCCACGCTCAAAATTTAGAATGTTTAGAGTTGTCGAATTGAATTCAAAAAAAAAATCTAAATTTCGACCTTTTTAGAATGTTAGAATAATTGAATTCTAAAATCTCTGAAAATGCTAAATTTTAAGCTTGGAAAAATTCAGACTTGTTACATTTTTTTGAATTAAATTCTCAAAATTCAAAAAAATCTCAAAAGTCTAAATTAGAACTAGGTCAACTTCCCCAAATCCAGCTTTGAGTTTTAAAAATTATAAAAAATCTAAGTTTTGAGCTTGGAAAAAGATCGATATTTTTTGGATTTTTGAAAATTTTAAAAATTCTAAATTTTCAGCTTGGACAAATTTAGAATTTTTGGAATTGTAGAATTGGATTCTAAAAATTCGAAAGTTTGAGCGTGGAAAAAAATTGAATTTTTTCGAGTTTTTGAATTGAATTCAAAAATATCCTAAAAATTCTCAATTTTGAGCTTGGAAAAAAAATGATTTTTTCTGAATTTTAGAATTGAATTTTAAAAATGCTAAATTTTGAGTTTGGATTTTTTTTTATTCCCGAGAGCGTCTGAGCGCAGGGTTCTTCCAATAGTGGGGGCCTGTAAAACATCTTCTCATCTTCACATCTTCTCATCTTCACATCCTCTCATCTTCACATCCTCTCATCTTCACATCTTCTCATCTTCACATCCTCTCATCTTCACATCTTTTCATCTTCACATCTTCACATCTTCTCATCTTCACATCTTCTCATCTTCACATCTTCTCATCCTCCCATCTTCTCCTCATCTTCTCATCTTCTCACATCTTCTCACATCTTCTCACATCTTCTCACATCTTCTCACATCTTCTCACATCTTCTCACATCTTCTCACATCTTCTCATCTTTACATCTTCTCATCTCACACCTTCTCCTCTTGCCCTCTTGCCCTCTTGCCCTCTTGCCCTCTTGCCCTCTTGCCCTCTTGCCCTCTTGCCCTCTTGCCCTCTTGCCCTCTCCTTCTTTTCTATTTCTCTTCTGAAGGCGGGGGCAGGGGCAGTGCCAACGAGACGGCACGAAACGCAACCCTTTCGCACGAAATGAGGTTCGATCGGCAAAAACTGAGGTAAAATTGCGATTTCAACTTGTCCCGCGCAACCCTTTCGCACGAAATGAGGTTCGATCGCCAAAAACTGAGGTAAAATTGCGATTTCAACTTGTCCCGCGCAACCCTTTCGCACGAAATGAGGTTCGATCGCCAAAAACTGAGGTAAAATTGCGATTTCAAGTCGTCCGGCGCAACCTTTTCGCACGAAATAAGGTTCGATCGTCAAAAACAGAGGTAAAATTGCGATTTCAACTTGTCCCGCGCAACCCTTTCGCACGAAATGAGGTTCGATCGTCAAAAACAGAGGTAAAATTGCGATTTCAACTTGTCCCGCGCAACCCTTTCGCACGAAATGAGGTTCGATCGTCAAAAACTGACGTAAAATTGCGATTTCAACTTGTCCCGCGCAACCCTTTCGCACGAAATGAGGTTTCGCGCGAAATGAGGTTGGATCGCCAAAAACTGAAGTAAAATTGCGATGTGTGTAAAAGCGTCTGTGTGTAAAAGCGTCTGTGTGTAAAAGCGTCTGTGTGTAATAGCGTCTGTGTGTAAAAGCTTCTGTGTGTAAAAGCGTCTCTGTGTAAAAGTGTTTGTGTGTAAAACTGTTTGTGTGTAAACTTTTGCGTGTAAAAGCGTCTCTGTGTAATAGCGTCTGTGTGTAAAAGCTTCTGTGTGTAAAAGTGTCTGTGTGTAAAAGTGTTTGTGTGTAAAAATGTTTGTGTGTAAACGTGTTTGTGTAAATGTGTCTGCGTGTAAAAGTCTCTGGGTGTAAACGTGTCTGTGTGTAAAAGTAAAAGCGTCTGTGTGTAAAAGCGTCTGTGTGTGAAAGTGTCTGTGTGTAGGGGCATCGTTGTGTAAATAAGTCTGTGTGTGCAAATGCACTCAGAATGACCGAACTGTGCGGCCCGCAGATTTTCATTTGTGAAGACACTTCAAAATATCCAATCACTGCGCTCGCTTGCACGAGCCCTCGGCTGAACCTGTGGAGCATCTGTCGCGGACTCAGCTTGTTTCACATATGCATAGAGACTATCTGTATGGAAAACTATCTGTGTGTAAAAGCGTCTGTGTGTAAAAGTGTTTGCGATGCAAACTATTGTCTTGCACTTCTCACTATTTTGTCTTGCTACTCCTCTTCTCGACTGCCTATAACACATCTTTCATATATTGTTTGTAAAATTGTGTCTCTTACTAACAAGAGAAGACCCTGCTCCTCTACGCTCTCGGGCCATCCGTCGTCTAGTTTTTTAGAATTTTAGAATTGTGTTTTTTAAAAATATGGAAATTTTAAATTTTAAGCTTGGAAAAAATTGGAATTTATAGTTTTTTTTGAATTGATTGAATTGTGAAAATCATGAAAATTCTAAATTTTGAGCTTGGAAAAATTTGAATACTTTGAATTTTAGAATTGAATTTTAAGAATTCTAAATTTGGAGCTTGGAAAATTTGGAATTTTACGGTTGAATTCTAAATTCACGTTATCCACATTGTTAGAATTTTTACAAGGAAAACTGCACGCGCCACATAGTACATGTTTTCCCTCGTACCTCCACCCCCTCACCCCCCCATATTGTCCGGTTCCCCCCGCCGGCACAAATTCGTTTGTGACTTGTAGCATGTTGCGGTTGTGGTAGTCTCGGTGTACGCTATCCATTTTGGATGCCCAACCGAGTATGATTTTGAACCTGCGGCGACCTGGTTTATTGCAGAAGCATCAGCGCTCTCACATGCTTGGGGTCCGCGGATGTGCAGATCAATTTTTGGGATAAAATGAGATTTTTTTTTGTTGGGATCCAGCACCTCTCGAGGTGCTATGGCAAATGAAGTGGATGACAAGATTTCATGGCCGGAGCCACGGAGAAAACTTCTAAAGAAAGATGAAACCACCGGAGGTGGAAGTGAAGCATGAAGCGACTTGGAATCTGAGTCCGGTTTCAATGGTTGTGTTGAATTGTTTCTCTACTGTGTTGGAAGTAATTTTCGGAAGCTGTTTGGCCCGAACCCGACATCATCTTGCCAACCTTGCCGACATGAGCGAGTTGAAGTCTACAAACATCCGCAGCGCGTTTGCCCTATCTTTCTGTCTGGGCATCCTTGAGCAGATCATCACAGGACCTGTTCTTGTGCTTTACCTCTACCAGATAGCCCTTGACGTTCAGGGCCCCAGTTCAGTCAGCACCGGGCCCAATTCGCTGGTTGGTTTCAATCAATGTGTTTGTGGGGTGGTGAAGCTGCTCTCTGTGGCTCCCATCAGCTGGTTGGTTGATCGTGACCCCACACGTCGGGTACTACCTTTGAGGGCGTCCCTTTTCTTTGGTTTGGCCACGGTGATCATCGGAGGATTCTTGTTGCACACAGACCAGTTTGCTTTGGCGACGGTCCTTACCAGTTGCTGTGGGATTTTCATCGAGCTTTGTCAGAGTGCTTCCAGATCCATTTTGACTGACAGTATCCCTGAAGGCAAGAGGGAAGGAATTTTCGTCACAAACTGGGTTTGCTACCTTATAGGCGCAGCCAGCGGCCCATTTCTTGCAGCAGTGGCAATCCTTGCTTCGAGTGGGTCAAGTTCTGCAAGTCACGTGAAGCTTGCACTTGTATGTGGCCTGGTTGCGGTGGCTCCCATTGCCTCCATCATTTTCACCTTTGTTGATCCGCTCACCAGAGAATCCATGGAATGCGGGCCAAAGTTGACGAACGGAAATGACAGGGTCAATGTGTCGAACTTGTCAGTCAAGAGCTGCACAGGTCGCCGGGTTCCGATTCTGTGCGTGGCTTGGTACGTTGTGACAGTTTTTGCAGGTGGTCTCATAGTGCCTTTCTTCATCCTTTTCTTCGAGAACAACGTTCACCTGTCGCTCATTCAAGTCAACCTGCTTGAAGGATGTTCTTGGTTCTTTATCGCAATATGCAGCAAAGCAGGGGCATGGATCTCGAAACACTGTGGCCGAGCACCTGCCATGCTTTCGATTTTCACATTATGCACTGCCCTGACTTTCATGCTTCACTTTGGATTGCCAGCCCCGATGCTCATGGTAGTTTTCCTCTTCCGCCGTGGCCTGGGGAATTGTATCAAGCCTTTGCTCGATTCAGTGGTGGCAGACTTCACCCCTTCAACAGAGAGAGGCATGTGGAACGCATTTTTGAGTATCGGTATTGCAGGTTGGTCTGGTTCAGCCTTGCTTGGTGGGATCCTGGCAGACCAACATGGCTACACCTTCGTCATTTTCATCACGTCGGTGGTCTACGCTGGATCTCTTCTTTTATTGATGGCCTTGGTCGGTTTGGTCAGTGATCAAACTGACAAGTGCCCAACAGATCCAGTTGAAGCCGCGAGTGAGGATTCGGAACCTTCTGATGCCGAAGGCTCAGAAGAGGTGCCTTAAAGATGCGTGAAGTTGGCTTGAAGTTTCCCGTTATAATCAATTATTCACACATTATACAAAAGAATACAAAAGCCATACACTTTAATGCTATACACTTGAAAGCTTTTGATGGAAATCATTCTGAGATCATCCATTTTTTCATTTTAACGTCTAGAGCACTACCGAAGGGACTGTATCGACTATTTTGGACAGTCTTAGCTGACGAGGATTTCGACTAGCTGTCAAGCTGTACAGACAGACTCTTGGACCCTTCTTTGTGCGACTGCATGGACAGCCTCTACTGTGACCATTGGCGAGCTGTTGTGATCGTGGGTTGTTTAGTCTTGGCACCCTTGCCTACTCCACTTCCTAGTACTCCTGCCCTCACGCAGGACAAAAGGAGGTGTGTGGCGCGTGCTTTCCAGTGAACATGCGAACATGAAGTAACATGAAGAATAGAAACATAGATTTTTGGTGGAAAGTTGTTCCACGCTTGTCCAGCTGAAACAGAAAGGTGTGCAGCAAAGCCATCAGTCCGTTTGTTACTGTCGAGGTCCAGGTGCAAGCGGAAGTCAAGTGGGAAGCTTGGTGCCGAATCGCGGGTCGGAATTGACATCGCGGGCTATGACTGGATAGTACGAGGATGGCGGGTATGCCACTGCCAATATCATGATTTTGAGGCCTAGGGGGACCGTTACCCACAAGTTGACAGGGATGATATCAATAATAGCTAGTAAAATATCCATGGCCAGTTTCTCCTTTGACAAGTGCTGGTTTCCCTTACCAATTATTAATGCTTGCAGTTTTCAAAGTCAAGCCGCCGCAAGAGTTTCGGCCGGTTTCGGACGACATGGAGTCGACTACAGCATCGATGACACCGATGACGGCTGCCTGGATGTCGAAGGAAATGATGTCAGAAGACAGCGAAGTTTTGGTGGCCGTGTCTCGACTTGCTGCACGAGTTCTCTTTGAACCAACGCCCAAGACCACTGAAGGCGTTGCTGCGATGGTGGAGGTCTTGAAGCCCAAGCTGCATCAGCTCTTTGGGAGTCAGAGTTCCAGTGGACTTCTCCTGCTTTGGGATGAACAGTTTCAGTTAGCTGCGATGGCAGGCGTTGTTGTGGAGAAGTTGCCGGGATTCCAGGATGAGGTGCCGCGGATTTGCTACTTGGTCGTTGATCCTGATCTCCATGGCCAAGGCTTCGGCTCAATGCTGGTGCGCCGCTGCGAGGATTGGGCGGCAGCCCGTGGTCACAGAGCGATTTGGCTGTTCCACTACAGTCACAAGGCGCGCTTGCACCACTGGTATTCCAAGATGGGCTATCAAACCGTGACGCACCGCACTGCAACGGTGCCGGTACCAGGCCAGGGCGAGATGGAAGGCACAGTGCAGATGATTGAACGGGATGTCACTTTGAAGAGGAAACCTCTTTGAGACAACTTTCTTGTGCATTTTTTGTGCGTTTGATGGAGATCATTCTGAGACATCATTCGAATTCGTTCATTTTAACGTTTAGAGCACTACCGAAGGGATTGTATCGACTATTTTGGACAGTCTTAGCTGACGATGATTTTGGCTAGCTGTCAAGCTGTACAGACATACAGGAACCAATTGACTTTTGGACCCTTCTTTGTGCGACTGCATGGACAGCCTCTGCTGTGACCATTGGCAAGCTGTTGTGATCGTGGGTTGTTTAGTCTTGGCACCCTTGCCTGCTCCACTGCCTAGTACTCCTGCCCTCACGCAGGACAAAAGGAGCTGTGCGTTTTCCTGCATTGCTTGGCATGTTCGAGAGAAGATTTGAACACCAAAATCAATTTAAAGAGATGCTGCAACCTTCCAGAGCATAGGACTCGGAGAGCACGCATGCGACCTAGCCAGACTGCTTAGCCACAACCAGCCCCAATCTCAGTGGGATGCAAAACAGAAAGGGGAGGGACATAATATGTCATGTCACATCAGCGTAGGAATCGGGGTGAGTGTTGCATGTTGACACAATGATTTCATTGCGCGCGACAGTAGCAGGTCACCCAGTTAGAATTTGATGTGATCATTTCCTGTACCCAACCGAGTATGATTTTGAGCCTGAAGCAACCTGTTTTACTGCAGAAGCGCCAACGCTCTCACATGGTTGGGGCCCACGAATGCGCAGATCAACTTAGCGATAAAATGAGATTGTTTTCCCAATTCGTAGCCAGGTTGCCATTTCACTCTGGGGGTCTGGGGGTTGAGGCATGTTGAGGGTGTGTTCGCTCAGTTCACTCGACGTTGCGTTTACACCAAGCGTCGCGTAGCTTTGTTTCGCGTGGCAGGGGTGGCACTTTGTGACATTCCAACATGTTTCATGACGTGCCAAAAGTCGTTTTGTGGTTGGCACGCGCAATACTTTTGCGTTGTTTGGGACGATGAGTTGCAATTTTCGTGGCAGGCGCAGCACTTTGGAGACCTCCATCGTCATTTTGCGTGGCAGGTGCAGCACTTTAGATGTGTCGCGTTGCGTGTTTTGCGAGTCGCATTGTCAGGGCTGCGTGAAATAGTGACAACGTGCAACTTCTGTGGTAGGGGTTGAATTTTTATGAGATAGGATGAAAATTGGCGGAAGCTTGGCACGAAACATCGTTTTTGAGATGCAAATTTTGAGGTTCGTTAGGAAAACTCATAGGAAAACGTCGATTTTGAAGCTACAAAGTGTGAAAATTGGAGGAGGTCTCGCACGAAATGCTCATTTTGAAGCTCCATGCATGTCTCGTCGCGAGTCTCTCGTTTTCCTGTGGCCTCGCCGTGTCTATGGAGGGAAGCTGCAAAACTATCCTTTTTGAAGGTGCCAAAGCAGGTTGTAATGTCGTTTTGCGTAGCAAGCGTGGCACTTCCTGACATTCTCGCGTGTCCGAAAACGTGTCGAAAGTCGTTGTGTGGCAGCGCGGCAGGCGCAAAACTTTTGCATCACCCACCCCTAAAAATGTATTTTAGGGGGGGGAGAGGTCAGGTAAAAAAAATACATTTACCGTTCTCCAAGAAATTGATTCCCCAGGACCCCCCCTAAATACATTATTTGCCCGGTGGGTGTACGTTAAATGTAGGATCCATGGGTCGGGATATCCAACCCCCCCCAGGATCTTTTATTTTGGGGGGGTGGTTTAATACATTTTACGGGTTTGGTTTTTCCAGGATCCCCGGGAATGTTTAATTTTTTCTGGGGAATACCCTTCTTTGAAAAATGTATTTTAAGGGGGTTGGGTAGCCGAAAAGCACATCATTTTTGGAAAATGGAGGGAATAGATCTGGCTAAGGTAGTCATTGGTACCCCCTGCAATGCATACATTTCAGAAAATAGTGTCATGTCTTCGGAGTGGGAGCGATGCGTGCTTGATCGCGTTTGCATATGTTTGCATGTGTTTGTTTAAAGCGTAAGCTAACGGGGTCTTCAGCGCAGAATATTTTCGGTGACCCCAGGTATTCCCAGGTTTCCCCATGGGTTTCAGTAGGTTTCCCAGGAGAAAAAAGATCAATTGGATTGAGGTGCAGACCCCCCATGCTTGCATACATTTAGAAAAGTTTAGGTATCCATTGGCTCTTGTCAGTGTTGCCCCCCACAAAGCATACATTTTCAGGTTCAATACCCCTACCAATAATACATTTCCAGCATCTGGCACTCATACATGCCTCATTTTGAGGGGTTACCCCCCCCCCAGTTCCCATACATTTTTGGCAAAAAGTGAGGGGGTTAACCCCCCCCTTATGTTCATACATTATCAGAAATGTAGGATCCACCCCCCCTACTCCTGAACCAGTTGGGGTCGGGGATACTTTTGCCTCGTTTTCAGAAGATGAGTTGTATTTTTCGTGGTGGGCGCAGCACTTTTGTTGCGTGTTTTTTGCGAAATCCGTTGTCAGGGCTGCGTCAAGTGGTGACAACGTGCAAATTCCGTGGCAGGTGTGGCATGGTCTGACATGCGATGACACTCCACACTCGACTCTACACTCTACACTCCATACAAGCGCTAGCGTTAAGTCGTATCAGCTCGTAAAAGTCGTATCGGGAGGCCGTGCGCCTGGAAAAAGTTCAAGTTTGGCATCACCACAACTTTTAGCAATTGAACGATTTCATTGTTTTGGGGCCGTGCGCCTGGAAAAAGTTCAATGTGTGTATTGCGTTGATTTTTAAAACGTATGTTTCATCATTCTTTCAAGGGGTCAAACGCTGGTTGCTGCTTGCTTGCTGCTTGCTTGCTGCTTGCCTGCTGCTTGCTGCTGCTTGCTGCTGCTTACCTGCTGCTTGCCTTACACTTTACACTCTACACTCCACACGCTACACTCCACACTTTACACTCTACACATCTCTACACTTTACACTCCACACTTTACACTCCACACTTGGCACTCCACACTTCACGCTTTATACTCCACACTCTACACTTTACACTCCACACTCCGCACTTTACACTATACACTCCACACTTTACACTCCGCACTTTACGCATTAAACTCCACACTTTACACTCCACCCTGTACACTCCACACTGTACGCTTTACACTCCACCCTTTACACTCCACACTGCACACTTTACACTCCGCACTTTACGCTTTAAACTCCACACTTTACACTCCACACTGTACACGTTACACTCAACACTCCAAACTTTACGCTATACACTTTACACTCCACACTTTACACTTTACACTCCACACTTTACACTTCACACTTTACACTTCACACTTTACACTCCACACTTTACACTCTACACTCCACACACTACACTCCACACTCTACACTTTACACTCCGCACTTTACACTTTACACTCCACACTTTACACTCCACACTCCACGCTTTACACTCCACACTGCGCACTTTACACTGTACGCTCCACACTTTGCACTCCGCACTCCACACTCTACACTATACACTCCACACTTGACACTCCACATTCCGCAATCCCCGCTTCACACTCTGCACGCCACATTCCCCACTCAACACTCCATTTTCCTCACACACCACACTTTGCACTCCACCCTCTTCCGCATTCCACAGTCTACAGTGCGCTGGTACGGAAACAGGGGAAATATATGGAAATATGTACAAGACTGTTCAAATAGTTTGCAAAAGTGTTCTACGTGACGGCATTCGGGTCCTGAATCTTTTTGTTGGGAAGGGTCAAAGATAGATCCATGGCACCTCTCAAGGTGCTATGGCAAATGAAGTGGACGACAAGATTTCATGGCCGGAGCCACGGAGAAAACTTCTAAAGAAAGATGAAACCACCGGAGGTGGAAGTGAAGCATGAAGCGACTTGGAATCTGAGTCCGGCTTCAATGGTTGTGTTGAATTGTTTCTCTACTGTGTTGGGAGTAATTTTCGGAAGCTGTTTGGCCCGAACCCGACATCATCTTGCCAACCTTGCCGACATGAGCGAGTTGAAGTCTACAAACATCCGCAGCACGTTTGCCCTATCTTTCTGTCTGGGCATCCTTGAGCAGATCATCACAGGACCAGTTCTTGTGCTTTACCTCTACCAGATAGCCCTTGACGTTCAGGGCCCCAGTTCAGTCAGCACCGGGCCCAATTCGCTGGTTGGTTTCAATCAAGGTGTTTGTGGGGTGGTGAAGCTGCTCTCTGTGGCTCCCATCGGTTGGTTGGTTGATCGTGACCCCACACGTCGGGTACGACCTTTGAGGGCGTCCCTTTTCTTTGGTTTGGCCACGGTGATCATCGGAGGATTCTTGTTGCACACAGACCAGTTTGCTTTGGCGACGGTCCTTACCAGTTGCTGCGGGATTTTCATCGAGCTTTGTAAAAGTGCTTCCAGATCCATTTTGACTGACAGTATCCCTGAAGGCAAGAGGGAAGGAATTTTCGTCACGCAGTGGGTTTGCTACCTTCTAGGCGCAGCCAGCGGCCCATTTCTTGCAGCAGTGGCAATCCTTGCTTCGAGTGGGTCAAGTTCTGCAAGTCACGTGAAGCTTGCACTTGTATGTGGCCTGGTTGCGGTGGCTCCCATTGCCTCCATCATTTTCACCTTTGTTGATCCGCTCACTAGAGAATCCATGGAATGCGGGCCAAAGTTGACGAAAGGAAATGACAGGATCAATGTGTCGAACTTGTCACTCAAAAACTGCACAGGTCGCTGGGTTCCGATTCTGTGCGTGGCTTTCTCCGGTGTGACAGTTTTTGCAGGTGGTCTCATAGTGCCTTTCTTCGTCCTTTTCTTCGAGAACGACGTTCACCTGTCGCTCATTCAAGTCAACCTGCTTGAAGGATGTTCTTGGTTCTTTATCGCAATATGCAGCAAAGCAGGGGCATGGATCTCGAAACACTGTGGCCGAGCACCTACCATGCTTTCGATTTTCACATTATGCACTGCCCTGACTTTCATGCTTTGCTTTGGATTGCCAGCCCCGATGCTCATGATAGTTTTCCTCTTCCGCCGTGGCCTGGGGAATTGTATCAAGCCTTTGCTCGATTCAGTGGTGGCAGACTTCACCCCTTCAACAGAGAGAGGCATGTGGAACGCATTTTTGAGTATCGGTATTGCAGGTTGGTCTGGTTCAGCCTTGCTTGGTGGGATCCTGGCAGACCAACATGGCTACACCTTCGTCATTTTCATCACGTCGGTGGCCTACGCTGGATCTCTTCTTTTATTGATAGCCTTGGTCGGTTTGGTCAGTGATCAAACTGACAAGTGCCCAACAGATCCAGTTGAAGCCGCAAGTGAGGATTCGGAACCTGCTGATGCCGAAGGCTCAGAAGAGGTGCCTTAAAGATGCGCGAAGTTGGCTTGAAGTTTTACAGTTATAATCAATTATTCACACATTATACAAAAGAATACAAAAGCCATACACTTTAATGCTATACACTTGAAAGCTTTTGATGGAGATCATTCTGAGATCATCCATTTTTTTCATTTTAACGTCTAGAGCACTACCGAAGGGACTGCATGTATCGACTATTTTGGACAGTCTTAGCTGACGAGGATTTTGGCTAGCTGTCAAGCTGTACAGACATACAGGAACCAATTGACTCTTGGACCCTTCTTTGTGCGACTGCATGGACAGCCTCTGCTGTGACCATTGGCGAGCTGTTGTGATCGTGGGTTGTTTAGTCTTGGCACCCTTGCCTACTCCATGCTTTCCAGTGAACATGCGAACATGAAGTAACATGAAGAATAGAAACATAGATTTTTGGTGGAAAGTTGTTCCACGCTTGTCCAGCTGAAACAGAAAGGTGTGCAGCAAAGCCATCAGTCCGTTTGTTACTGTCGAGGTCCAGGTGCAAGCGGAAGTCAAGTGGGAAGCTTGGTGCCGAATCGCAGGTCGGAATTGACATCGTGGGCTATGGCTGGATAGTACGAGGATGGCGGGTATGCCACTACCAATATCATGATTTTGAGGCCTAGGGGGACCGTTACCCACAAGTTGAGAGGGATGATATCAATAATAGCTAGTAAAATATCCATGGCCAGTTTCTCCTTTGACAAGTGCTGGTTTCCCTTACCAATAATTAATCCTTGCAGTTTTCAAAGTCAAGCCGCCGCAAGAGTTTCGGCCGGTTTCGGACGACATGGAGTCGACTACAGCATCGATGACACCGATGACGGCTGCCTGGATGTCGAAGGAAATGATGTCAGAAGACAGCGAAGTTTTGGTGGCCGTGTCTCGACTTGCTGCACGAGTTCTCTTTGAACCAACGCCCAAGACCACTGAAGGCGTTGCTGCGATGGTGGAGGTCTTGAAGCCCAAGCTGCATCAGCTCTTTGGGAGTCAGAGTTCCAGTGGACTTCTCCTGCTTTGGGATGAACAGTTTCAGTTAGCTGCGATGGCAGGCGTTGTTGTGGAGAAGTTGCCGGGATTCCAGGATGAGGTGCCGCGGATTTGCTACTTGGTCGTTGATCCTGATCTCCATGGCCAAGGCTTCGGCTCAATGCTGGTGCGCCGCTGCGAGGATTGGGCGGCAGCCCGTGGTCACAGAGCGATTTGGCTGTTCCACTACAGTCACAAGGCGCGCTTGCACCACTGGTATTCCAAGATGGGCTATCAAACCGTGACGCACCGCACTGCAACGGTGCCGGTACCAGGCCAGGGCGAGATGGAAGGCACAGTGCAGATGATTGAACGGGATGTCACTTTGAAGAGGAAACCTCTTTGAGACAACTTTCTTGTGCATTTTTTGTGCGTTTGATGGAGATCATTCTGAGACATCATTCGGATTCGTTCATTTTAACGTTTAGAGCACTACCGAAGGGATTGTATCGACTATTTTGGACAGTCTTAGCTGACGAGGATTTTGGCTAGCTGTCAAGCTGTACAGACATACAGGAACCAATTGACTTTTGGACCCTTCTTTGTGCGACTGCATGGACAGCCTCTGCTGTGACCATTGGCAAGCTGTTGTGATCGTGGGTTGTTTAGTCTTGGCACCCTTGCCTGCCCCACTGCCGTGTACTCCTGCCCTCACGCAGGACAAAAGGAGCTGTGCGTTTTCCTGCATTGCTTGGCATGTTCGAGAGAAGATTTGAACACCAAAATCAATTTAAAGAGATCCTGCAACCTTCCAGAGCATAGGACTCGGAGAGCACGCATGCGACCTAGCCAGACTGCTTAGCCACAACCAGCCCCAATCTCAGTGGGATGCAAAACAGAAAGGGGAGGGACATAATATGTCATGTCACATCAGCGTAGGAATCGGGGTGAGTGTTGCATGTTGACACAATGATTTCATTACGCGCGACAGTAGCAGGTCACCCAGCTAGAATTTGATGTGATCATTTCCTGTACCCAACCGAGTATGATTTTGAGCCTGAAGCAACCTGTTTTACTGCAGAAGCGCCAACGCTCTCACATGGTTGGGGCCCACGAATGCGCAGATCAACTTAGCGGTAAAATGAGATTGTTTTCCCGAATCCGTAGCCAGGTTGCCATTTCACTCTGGGGGTTGAGGCATGTTGAGGGTGTGTTCGCTCAGTTCACTCGACGTTGCGTTTACACCAAGAGTCGCGTAGCTTTGTTTCGCGTGGCAGGGGTGGCACTTTGTGACATTCCAACATGTTTCATGACGTGCCAAAAGTCGTTTTGTGGTTGGCACGCGCAATACTTTTGCGTTGTTTGGGACGATGAGTTGCAATTTTCGTGGCAGGCGCAGCACTTTGGAGACCTCCATCGTCATTTTGCGTGGCAGGTGCAGCACTTTAGATGTGTCGCGTTGCGTGTTTTGCGAGTCGCATTGTCAGGGCTGCGTGAAATAGTGACAACGTGCAACTTCTGTGGTAGGGGTCGAATTTTTATGAGATAGGATGAAAATTGGCGGAAGCTTGGCACGAAACATCGTTTTTGAGATGCAAATTTTGAGGTTCGTTAGGAAAACTCATAGGAAAACGTCGATTTTGAAGCTACAAAGTGTGAAAATTGGAGGAGGTCTCGCACGAAATGCTCATTTTGAAGCTCCAGCATGTCTCGTCGCAAGTCTCTGGTTTTCCTGTGGCCTCGCCGTGTCTATGGAGGGAAGCTGCAAAACTATCCTTTTTGAAGGTGCCAAAGCAGGTTGTAATGTCGTTTTGCGTGGCAAGCGTGGCACTTCCTGACATTCTCGCGTGTCCGAAAACGTGTCGAAAGTCGTTGTGTGGCAGCGCGGCAGGCGCAAAACTTTTGCCTCGTTTTCAGAAGATGTTTTGGTGGTGGGCGCAGCACTTTTGTTGCCTGTTTTTTGCGAAATCCGTTGTCAGGGCTGCGTCAAGTGGTGACAACGTGCAAATTCCGTGGCAGGTGTGGCATGTTCTGACATGCGATGACACTCCACACTCGACTCTACACTCTACACTCCATACTGTACACTTTACACTCTACACCCTACACTCTACACTCCACACGCTACACTCAACACTCCACACTTTACACTATACACTTTACACTCCACACTTTACACTTTACACTCCACACTTTACACTTCACACTTTACACTTCACACTTTACACTCCACACTTTACACTCTACACTCCACACACTACACTCCACACTCTACACTTTACACTCCGCACTTTACACTTTACACTCCACACTTTACACTCCACACTCCACGCTTTACACTCCACACTGCGCACTTTACACTGTACGCTCGACACTTTGCACTCCGCACTCCACACTCTACACTATACACTCCACACTTGACACTCCACATTCCGCAATCCCCGCTTCACACTCTGCACGCCACATTCCCCACTCAACACTCCATTTTCCTCACACACCACACTTTGCACTCCACCCTCTTCCGCATTCCACAGTCTACAGTGCGCTGGTACGGAAACAGGGGAAATATATGGAAATATGTACAAGACTGTTCAAATAGTTTGCAAAAGTGTTCTACGTGACGGCATTCGGGTCCTGAATCTTTTTGCTGGGAAGGGTCAAAGATAGATCCATGGCACCTCTCAAGGTGCTATGGCAAATGAAGTGGACGACAAGATTTCATGGCCGGAGCCACGGAGAAAACTTCTAAAGAAAGATGAAACCACCGGCGGTGGAAGTGAGGCATGAAGCGACTTGGAATCTGAGTCCGGCTTCAATGGTTGTGTTGAATTGTTTCTCTACTGTGTTGGAAGTGATTTTCGGAAGCTGTTTGGCCCGAACCCGACATCATCTTGCCAGCCTTGCCGACATGAGCGAGTTGAAGTCTACAAACATCCGCAGCGCGTTTGCCCTATTTTTCTGTCTGGGCATCCTTGAGCAGATCATCACAGGACCTGTTCTTGTGCTTTACCTCTACCAGATAGCCCTTGGCGTTCAGGGCCCAGTCAGATCAGTCAGCACCGGGCCCAATTCGCTGGTTGGTTTCAACCAAGGTGTGTGTGGAGTGGTGAAGCTGCTCTCTGTGGCTCCCATCGGTTGGTTGGTTGATCGTGACCCCACACGTCGGGTACGACCTTTGAGGGCGTCCCTTTTCTTTGGTTTGGCCACGGTGATCATCGGAGGATTCTTGTTGCACACAGACCAGTTTGCTTTGGCGACGGTCCTTACCAGTTGCTGCGGGATTTTCATCGAGCTTTGTAAAAGTGCTTCCAGATCCATTTTGACTGACAGTATCCCTGAAGGCAAGAGGGAAGGAATTTTCGTCACGCAGTGGGTTTGCTACCTTCTAGGCGCAGCCAGCGGCCCATTTCTTGCAGCAGTGGCAATCCTTGCTTCGAGTGGGTCAAGTTCTGCAAGTCACGTGAAGCTTGCACTTGTATGTGGCCTGGTTGCGGTGGCTCCCATTGCCTCCATCATTTTCACCTTTGTTGATCCGTTCACCAGAGAATCCGCCATGGAATGCGGGCCAAAGTTGACGAACGGAAATGACAGGGTCAATGTGTCGAACTTGTCACTCAAAAACTGCACAGGTCGCCGGGTTCCGATTCTGTGCGTGGCTTTCTCATAGTGCCTTTCTTCGTCCTTTTCTTCGAGAACGACGTTCACCTGTCGCTCATTCAAGTCAACCTGCTTGAAGGATGTTCTTGGTTCTTTGTCGCAATATGCAGCAAAGCAGGGGCATGGATCTCGAAACACTGTGGCCGAGCACCTACCATGCTTTCGATTTTCACATTATGCACTGCCCTGACTTTCATGCTTCGCTTTGGATTGCCAGCCCCGATGCTCATGGTAGTTTTCCTCTTCCGCCGTGGCCTGGGGAATTGTATCAAGCCTTTGCTCGATTCAGCGGTGGCAGACTTCACCCCCTCAACAGAGAGAGGCATGTGGAACGCATTTTTGAGTATCGGTGTTGCAGGTTGGTCTGGTTCAGCCTTGCTTGGTGGGATCCTGGCAGACCAACATGGCTACACCTTCGTCATTTTCATCACGTCGGTGGCCTACGCTGGATCTCTTCTTTTATTGATGGCCTTGGTCGGTTTGGTCAGTGATCAAACTGACACGTGCCCAACAGATCCAGTTGAAGCCGCGAGTGAGGATTCGGAACCTGCTGATGCCGAAGGCTCAGAAGAGGTGCCTTAAAGATGCGTGAAGTTGGCTTGAAGTTTTACAGTTATAATTAAAAATCAAGTATCGAAGGAGGTTTAGAAGTCAAACTTCCGACAATATGGACAGATGGAAAAGCAGAGGTGGGAAGAGTCAGAGAGGAGAAGAGAAGAAGAGACAAGATCAAGAGTCAGAAGAAAGAAGATGCAGGTGCGCGAAAAAGTAGAAAAGCAGCGAATCACTGTGTTTTTCCAATGGTTTGTGGCTCCGGAGGGTCGAAATGTACGCTCGCTAAAGCGGCGGGTGCGGAGCCATTTGGCCAGATGAGAGATGAAAAGTTGCACGGCGCGCAGCACATTTCGAAGTCAAAAATGCACAAAACACTTCACATGCGGAGCACGTTTGGAAGTTGAAATGTCGAAAAAGTGCACACCGTTTTGGCGCGAAGCACATTTCGACGTCAAAACGCACAAAGCACTTCACGTTCGGAGCACTTTTGGAAGTTGAGGTGTTGAAAAAGCGGACGCCGCTGTTGTGGCGCGAAGCACATTTGCAAGTCAAAAAATGTACCAAACACACCATTCTTGGTACACTTTTGGAAGTTGACACGTCGAAAAAGTGCGCGCTGTTGCGGCGCGAAGCACAAGTCAAAAATGTACCAAACACACCGTTCTCGGACCACTTTTGGAAGTTGACACGTCGAAAAAGTGCGCGTTGTTGTGGCGCGAAGCACATTTCCAAGTCAAAATGCGAAAAACACCACATGTTCGGACCACTTTTGGACGTTCAGATGTCGTTTTGCGTGGCAGGCGCAGGGGATTTTGCACCTTGTCAAAAGTGAGAAAAGGCCAGGGTTTTGCAGCAGTTTCAAAAACGATGGCAGGCATGGGACATTTGAAAAGGATCTGCAAAGATGGATTTCGCGTGGCAGGCGCAGTACCAGAGACAATCAGAGATGTTAGGAGGTCAGGGCGGTGATTTCCTGAGAGGGGTTGCATTTTGGAGCATCAGATCTTCAGGTTTGCTAAGATGATTTTGCGTGACAGGTGCAGCACTTCGTATGACTTGGCATCACTTTTTCGTGGCAGACGCTGTACTTTGGACAGGAGGAGTGGAAAAAACGCAAGCCGCATTGGCACGAGGCCGTCAGCTCTGCAGTCAACTTTCCACTTTTGAAGAAGTCTCGCAGAATTGCTACGTTTTTGATGTTGCCAACTTCAAAAATTGAGGAAGTCTCGCAGAATTGCTTCGGTTTTGATGTCGTCAAGCTCAAAAACTGAGGAAGTCTCGCAGACTTGCTTCGATTTCAAACTTGCAGAAAGACAGACAGACAGACGGACAGACAGACAGACAGAGAGAGAGAGAGATAGAGAGATAGAGAGATAGAGAGATAGAGAGATAGAGAGATAGAGAGATAGAGAGATAGAGAGATAGAGAGATAGATAGATAGATAGACAGACAGACAGATAGATAGATAGATAGCCAGACAACTACGGCTGCAACTACAACTACAGCCACAACCACACTACACTACCACTACAGCTACAAATATAAAAACAAATATACTACGCTACAGTACACTAATTGCACTACACGACACTGCACTACACTAATTACAGTACACTACACTGCACTACACTACACTAATTACAGTACACTACACTACACTAGACTACAGCTACACTACACTACATTACACAACACTGCGCTACACTAATTACACTACAACTACAACTCCAACTACAACTACAGCTGCAATTACAACTACAACTACCATTACAACTACCACAACCACTGCCACTACAACACGACTAGAACTTCAACTACACTTCAACTACGCTACAAGTACAACTACAACTTCAACTACACTTCAACTGCACTTCAACTACACTTCAACTACAACTACAACTACAACTAAAACTACAACTACAACTTCACTTCAACTACACTTCAACTACAACAACTACAGCTACAACTTCAACAACACTTCAGCTACAACTACAGCAATGACAACAACTACAACAACAACAACAACAACAGCACCAGCAACAACAACAACAACAACGACAACGACAACGACTACGACTACCACTACAACAACAACTACTACTACTACTACACTACAACTGCAACTGCAACAACAACAACTGCGGCTACAACTACAACTGCAACTGCGCTTCAACTACACTACAACTACAACTACACTACACCTGCAACTAGCACTACAATACACTACACTACACTAGACCTCAACTACAACAACTACAGCTACAACTACCACTACACCACAACTACCACTACCACTACAACCACAACTGCAATTACATTGCACTTCGCTACACCACTACGTCTTGCAGTTGTGGGTGAGGTGACCACTGCAACCACTCCAAAATCACAACCACTTTTCGGTCCATCAATCGATTCGCTCTGCCATCCATGCATCACAACAACGCACGTCTACAGTTTCCTATCTTTGAAACTTCCGCCACCGCCTTGTGCGGTGCTACTGGTACACACACTATGCAAAAGAATACAAAAGCTATACACTTGAAAAATTTTGATGGAAATCATTCTGAGATCATCCATTTTTTCATGTTAACGTCTAGAGCACTACCGAAGGGACTGTATCGATTATTTTGGACAGTCTTAGCTGCCGAGGATTTTGGCTAGCTGTCAAGCTGTACAGACAGACTCTTGGACCCTTCTTCGTGCGACTGCATGGACAGCTTCTGCTGTGACCATTGGCAAGCTGGTGTGGTCTTGGCTTGTTTAGTCTTGGCACCCTTGCCTGCTCCACTGCCTAGTACTCCTGCCCCCACGCAGGACAAAAGGAGCTGTGCGTTTTCCTGCATTGCTTGGCATGATCGAGAGAAGATTTGAACACCAAAAGCATGAAAGAGATGCTGCAATCTTCGGGAGCATGGGACTCGGAGAGCACGCATGCGACCTGGCCGAAGCCCAGGTGAGACATAGCCAGACTGCTTAGCCACAGCCAGCCCTGTCACATGAGCGTAGGAATCGGGGTGAGTGTGGCATGTTGACACGCTGTACAAGTTGTTTGGTGTGTTGGGTGAGGCAGTTGTCTCGAAAGACTTGCTGCCTGAATGATTTCATTCCGTGCGACAGTAGTAAGTCACCCAGTTGGAATTTAATGGGATACCGGAGGTTTCCTGTACCCTTTTCATTCCTTTCGTCGCGCTTTGCTGTGACCTTTAAAACAGAAAGTCATGGGCCAGAAGAACTGAGAGGAAAGGGTTGGGCCATGATTTGAAATGGTGTTCGCTCCATCCTTGGAAGTTCTTCCGTTCTGCAAAAAGTGGGTTTGCAACAAACACAGTGCCCGGAAACTGCCTAGCATAGTACTGTAAGAATAAAGTGAACAGAAGACGTCGCTTCAAACGAGTGGACCAGAGACCATCTAAAGTGCAAAATGCGCGTTTTAGGGTTTGACATGAATCACATGTTATATCGATGAACAACTCCAAAACAACTGTATATACATCCTCCTACCCACGTTCAGTATCCTTTAGAGCTATGTCTTTTTGGACGAAGGTCAAAGGTACAGTATCAAACAAAAATGTTGAATGCGAAGAATGCTAGGGTTTGCAGTGACCCAGTGTTGCCGGTAAAATGGCTCTCTGATCCCTCGAGTGCCTCGTGTTTGGAGCAAATGCTTGTGAGGGGAGTGAAGATGACTAAAGCGACCAAAGGATCCTCACTGTGTCTTTTTTTCATGCGAGACGGTCCATCTAAATGCTCCAATCATGAGGTGTAATTTTGATAGAGGGTTTTCTAGCGTCCAATGTGTCCAGTCTTATCGGTTGAAGCTGGGATCCATGCGATCAGTTGAGGCCAGTGACGGTCTACAGTGCCTGGAATGAGAAGGTGGGCCGGGCTGGTGAGATGGCAGCAACTGAAATCCGAAGTGCCAAATTGTTGGGAATGGGACGGTATGGGACGGAATGAGTTTCCTTTCTTTCTGTTTTACACTTTCGATTTCCCAACTGCGAAGAAACCTTTCCCTTTGACATCTTTGACCCACAGATTGCCGACATTCAAACATTTCAAACTGCGAACTGCAGCCACAAGCAAGATATGGGGTGTTGCGGTTGTAGAAGACCTTTTTGCGAAGTCTCTATCTTGTACACACCATGGCGTTGCTATTTCTCTCCATGTGGTCATCTCCGTGGTGACACCGACTGTGTGGGCCGTGCGGATGCTATCCGAGATCTTGCGGAATCCTATGAAGTTGGCCATCAGCTCTTCGAGGTAAAGGCCCCGAGTCCAGAAGATCGTGGTCCAGAAGTAGAATATAGACAAATATAGTAGAATCAAATTACCAGATATTACCAGGATAGACGTGAAATCAGACGAGAGCCAGCCGCTTTTCGGTCTGTCAGAGGACCGCTCTGGCATCCATGCATCCCAAGAAGCATCCCCCTCCTATAGGTTTTTTGTCTTGGAAACTTCCCGCCGCCGTCTGGTGCGGTACTACTGGTATCCCACAATGATTATCCATGCAAATCCCCAAAAAACTTTGGCGATTGCGATTCGTGTTGATTTGGATGATTTTGCTTGAAGGAAAGGGAGGCTACTCGGTGCGAGAGCTGATGGACAAACCGAAGATGTACATGATACTGGATGATCTGGACATACGCCCTGGCCACACCTATGGTTTCAGCATGAAGGACGCATCAAAATACTCCGCCATTTTCACGAAAGCTAGCGTCAGCTAGCTGGAGTCTTCTTGCTTTAGCAAGTATTGGGGGGGCTGCTCAAGGACATCACGTGATTTTTCACGCGAAAGGGGGGGCCCCCCCCCCCCTCCCCACCACCACCACCATCACCACCATCATCATCATCATCATCATCATCATCGTCATCATCATCGTCATCATCATCGTCATCATCATCGTCATCGTCCTCTCCATCGTCCTCGTCCTCGTCCTCGTCCTCGTCATCATCATCATCATCATCATCATCATCATCATCATCATCATCGTCGTCGTCCTCGTCATCGTCCTCGTCATCGTCATCGTCATCGTCATCGTCATCGTCATCATCATCATCATCATCATCATCATCCCCGTCGTCATCATCATCATCATCATCATCCATCATTCATCATTCATCATTCATCATTCATCATTCATCATTCATCATTCATCATCATCATCATCATCATCATCATCATCATCGTTATTCAATTACATTTTATCATTATTGGCAATTATTGTCATTATCACGAAAGCTAGCGTCAGCTCGCTAGAGTCTTCTTGCTTTAGCACGTATTCCGGGGCTCCCCAAGGACATCACGTGATTTTTCCCGCGAAAGGGCCCCCCCCTGCCCCCTCCCCCATATATATCATTGTTATATATCATATATCAATATATCATTGTTGCATCCTCGTTGGGACGAACAATGCCGCGACACGATGATGACAGTCCCTCCGCAACTCACCTCTTCCCTTCCTTCTTTCTCCTACCCCGCTAGCTTTCGTCATCCACCCCCGGCCTCAAGTTTGTGGTCCTACTTCTCAGCTTAAGAGATCAGAAGAGTAAATGGCCCACTCCCCTCCAAACCTCCAGGACTTAAAAGATGGTGGCTTTCGCATGTTTGATTTCCGGAACCGGAAGCTTGGCATCGATTCGGGGCCGGCCAGATCGTGCAGGATTCACCTGCTCATTGAAGTCAGCTGGTTATGATCTGACTTGAAACCGTTGGCCGACTGTTCTTGTACTGAACTGAAGTCGCTGGGCGCTGGTCCTCGCCAGCTCTATGAGGCCGTCGCCTGAAGCAATTGAAGGCTGATGGCTTTAGTGCTCGCAGCATTCCAGGCCCAGCAGCTCTTGGGTGCTGGGTACAACAGCACTGAACTTTCGAAGGCCGGCTTCAGCATCACGGAACTGAGAGATGCCGGCGTAGGTTTGGCAGAACTTGCGCTTGTCGCTAGCGCTAGAGACCTGAGAAATGCCGGTTTCAACGAGAAACAAATGAGCGGGGCCAACTTCAGCCTTGATGAACTCAAGAGTGCCGGTTTCAATGCACGGGAGCTAAAGACTGTCGGTTTCAGTGCAGAAGATCTGAGGCTGTCAGCTTCAACAGTGAGGACTTCATGACTGCTCAGCAGGCGAGAGACCTTGGCCTCGGGGCCAAAGAACTGAGAGAACGGGGCTACGGCTTGGATTTCAGCCTCGCTCGCATGAAACTGGTATTGGATTCGATGCTGATATTGGATTCGATGCTGATAGCCTGAAAGAATTGGGCTTTCGGGCTCAGCAGCTGCGGGGGCCGGCTTCAGCTAGGCGTCCTTGAGGCGTGCCGGATACAGTGCCACGAGGGCGGATGCTGGAGCCACGATTTTTCAGCTGAAGAAAGCTAAATAATACGAGCGGAGCATTGCAAGGTGTGGCAAATTTTCGACAAGACTTCTCGAAAAGGCCAATGTCAAAGATGTCACAGATACTGATCAGCGTTCTGAGCAAGATTTCAAGAGCTGGCAAAGGGAACACCGCAATCGCTACGACAATTGGCCTGGAAGTAAGAAAAAGAAGAAGAGCAGAGGCATCACCAGCGACGACGTCGCATTCGGGGTTGGCATTTCGCTCAGCTTAAACATGGCGGGCTCTTCGGCTATAGTCTACCAAGGACCCGCTGCTGAAAGCTGACAAACACCTTCCTTGGCAAAAGACAACCAGGATTGAGAGTGGGGGAATTGGGACTTCAGTTTAGCATGTCTTAGACAATGCATTCCAAGGTTTGTTTCATGTTAGTGCATGAATCTTGGCTTCTTGGTCCTCACCAGTCGACACTCTGAAAGGAGCTGGGCTTCTTTGATCGCGTTTTCTAGGCTGAGAGCCGTCTTGTGCTGCAAAATAGACCGCGGCCCGAAGAGTTAGCCGCCAAGAAGCAACTTAGAGCTGACCTTGGGGACCTTGGGGAGATGGTGACATGTCTTGACCTGGTACGCCTTCAGGAGACCCATGGAGCACCCAGCTACTTCTAAGGCCGCCGGAAATCATTGGATCCAACTTGGCTAGTGATTGGGTTGCAGCATTGACCAACTCAGGACAAAATCGCCAAATGCAAAAGAGATGTAGAATGGTGTAGAATGGTGTAGAATGATAGCAAATCAAATTCATAATATATCCAAAAATGATGACAAGAACAGCAACACTTATATCAGTTATTTATGTAGTACAATAATGACATATGTGATGGTACACTGAGTTCATCGATCCTCATGTTTCTGCCCGAGTGCCAACACAGGCAATTGGACCTTGGACAACGCTGCGGCATAGCCAGCGTGGCCTTTGTGGCAGGCCACCCCGACAGTAGAAAGTGATGAAAGATGATGAAAGATGACCCAAAACGGATACAACAAATCATACTGCAATAGCAATATGTAATAATGATACTTGTTTGATCTTTTTTGTGTCAACCGTGATCATAGTATGACAAGCATGAATAGTATTTTACTATCAATCGTTTAGTAAGAACTATGACGATAATGACATCTATCAACAACGAAACATGAATAAATAGCACAGCATGACCCAAAAATTGACCGTTTCTTGGTGAATCTGAAAAACCAAAACCTAATCACTACTCACTCTTGTGCGTCGAAGGCCTTTACTGATGGTTGACTGGAGTCGAAGGGGAAGCGGTCAAAAAAATAAGGGTAACTGCTGTCAGTTTCCAACCAATCCATTGCAGAAATGAACGAATAACACCATGAGGTGCTTAACAGGTTAATTTTATATTGAAATGCACATCAAAGCTTTTTCATTCACATATTAATGGAAGAAACCGAAGACAGAAGTTGATTAGAATTCACTTCGGTGCCACTTCTTCAGCTTCAACCCCTCCTCAATGAATATTACTTGGGGAACTCCAAGAAAGGTCAAAGCCGGACGTACCGCAGGCGGACTGAAGCGATTTTCCGTGGCCAGGTTGGACCAGATTGATCTGTGATTTTCAATAATAAAATTTGGGTAGTTTGTGTATGACGCAAACAAGTCCTTCCATAATCGATAAACTTTCTGTAAACACGCCCAATGGCCTGTTGTTGTCCAACTTTCAACTTCCATAAATCCATGAGATGTGAAGACCAATTATAAAACCGGATAACCCCACATGTTACCAACTTCTCTAGACTTAGACTGAGCACAGAAAAGCAAGGAAGGGAAGAAGAAGTATAAGAGTGATGGAGGGGTGATGGTCGGTGAGTTTGTGTGTGTGGAACATCTGAAAAGATGTAAAACTTCTACCTGATGATTTCGATTTTGCTGCTTATTTGATTTGAATTTCATGACTGGATGTTCTGTTTTTCTCAATCGTCATTTCCGTTTCAACATCCTTTATAGCGCAGGGGGGCAGTGAATCTCATTCCATCCACTGCCCAACGAAGACGGTGGTTTGAGATTGTGATATCGGGACTGATCATCCCGACGTACCTGCAATTTCCAATTTTCAGTTTGTCGTCAATGGCCACCGGCTAAGCCCAGAACCGGCATGTCGCTTTTCCAACTGTTTTCGAACCAAACAACTGTACGGTTTTCGCAATCTGACTGAGCTGCATCAGAACAAGTAAATCCTTCGAGCAAGGACGTAGAAAGTTTTCCTTCGCACAGTTTCTCACCTCTAATCATCCAAACCGTTCCTGTCAGGTTTACTGAGGTGTTTTTTGCACGTATGATGCATTCCACATCAGTAATTCGATAAGATATTTCTGAGCAAGTGTGTCATTCCTGCTGTATACGTCAAGTTGGCAGGAACCCCTCGGGGAAAGCCTTTCCAGGCTAACAATTGACAGTAAATCGATGTCTGAATTTACACTTTTGAATTAGTAATTCGTTTAAGTAAAGTGAACTGCTGGCCTTCTTTCAATGTTTCACAAGTCGGTCGAGTGAATGTTGAACAGTGTGCCGCTGTGCCTGGCCTCCTCATTTTTCAGCCACCTGGTGCCTTTGCATAGCTGGAAGCCACGACAACCAATTCCTTTTTGAGTGCTGCTCAAGAGACAGACCACATGTCAGGCATGCTCACATGATCAGGCGAAAGGACATGCTTGCAGGTTTGGTGCTTTTTTTCCTTTTATGGTCGTTGGTGAGGTTCAATTGTGCACTTAATTCATTTGAACACTGATAGCCGTCGATGGGGTTGACTTGAATACCGAGGGCCTTGAGCCTTATCACGACTTATGCATGGATTGTGGATGCATCTTTATGAACTAAGTTTTCATTCACCGTAACCTGACAGTGCTGCCATGTTTCCTGGCCGTTTTCCAAACGTCCTTGACACGATGTGGAACTTTGGATGGAGTCCGCAACCGATGGGACTTCAAGGTCAATTTTGTGGAGGGGATGTAATGAATCAGCAGTCTCAAGCTCAGTCTCAAGCTCAGACTCAGGCACAACTTGCACACCTCCGAGAGCAAAATTCCATCCTCAATCAGCAACTTGCATCACAGGCTCAGTCACACATCCAGCACCTTCAACAGCTCCTTCCGTTCCATCAAGACACATCCACTCCATCTCCACCACAACCCACACCACAAGTGTCCGAACCACCAACACCTGTGCCACCTCCATCCACGCAACCTGGATCCAGTGTATCCTTCAATCCTGAAGAGATGATGCAGCAGATGAAGAACACGGTCGAGTCCAGTATGCAGGCCTTTGTGGACAAGAACCAAGATCGCAACATGAGCCACCTTCCACCACCTTCTCATCCACCGCTTCCGATCTCTCCACCTATTCCCAGTCATCCCCAGCCACCAGTTGATATCCCAACATCACACCAACGTTCCCATCGGTCTGGATCAAACAGACCTGACAAACGCCCGATATCCATCCCACGCAGTCCTAGACGGCCCAGATCCAAAAGACGAGCCCATCGCTCGTCTCGACCACGATCCTCATCCAGAAGACGAATCTCCACATCGAGACATGCCTCCAGACGTCCAAGCAGGGCTACATCGATTACCCTGCGTTCAGCCTCTCCACAACATCGTGAAGTTCAACATCGAGGACATGACAATCATCCACCTCACGAACCCACTCACATGCTAGCCAATCTCCAACCTGCAACATGGGAATACCACCCACAACAATCCTTCCACACCACTGACACTGCGTCAAACTACTACCACTACGACCAACACACCACCAACAAGTGGAAATCTTGGGGTCAATGGAAAGACTATTCCAAGTCTTCCAACACATCCAACACCTCTGGTTGGATTGACTACACCAAACCAATCAGTGATCACAACCAATACAACTCTTCCACCAAGCCACTCACAGCATACTCCTCCGATCACAACAACCCACCACGCCGACCTCCACACAGGTCAGGTTCACTTCAATCTCGCGGCTTTACCAACGTTCCTCCAGGACGTGTTGCCATCAACCTTCAAGATGGCTCGAGAGATGAGTGGGCTCGACACATATCATATGCCATGAACCATCCTGACAGGATGCGTGCGGCCAATGAAATTCCAGCTGCCGATCGTCCCAAGCCGTCCACAACAATGGATCAAGAAGACTATGAAAAGGCTTGCGAACAACTTCACCAAGTTGACAATCGGATCCCCACAGACGTGGTCAAGAAGGCAGTCCAACTCTTTTTCAGCACCAATCTTCTTCCCGACTACGATCTATCCACCTGCCACGTCAGGGAACTTCCATCCACCAACAACCTTGCACTCATCATGCCATTACCTGACACCAGCCATTTTCAGATGCCACCTCCCTATGGGAAACGTCAAAATCACACATGGGCACTCCTTCACGGGACGTCCCTTCATACCTCTCAGCAAATTCTACTTGAGGGCAAGATCAGACCAGCAAACTGGTCTTACCACAAGAATCCTCAACGTTGCGACCTACCAACCTTTGGGGCATTCTTTCTTGGCAGAGAGGTATCCAACAGCGACAAGACGATACCACCTTGGGCAGAAAGAGAACTCCTGGATGCGATTGGCAAAAAGGGCAAGGGCCAGCAAGACATCGTTGTTGGGGCGATGTACCGAGGGTCCAGTGACCACACTGCTTATAAAGCTGGAGGCAACGAGAAAGCTCAGCTTGGTGTGATCGAAAAAGGAATCGTCACCACGTCGGAGAAGTACAAGATTGCCCACAGCAACCATGTGGGATTGAAATTCATTGCTCTCAAGTGGACAGGCCTCAACATGAACATCAACGTCGGTGACACATCCTCAGATCACTGCAATTATCGCAGCAATGAGGAACGCTACTCAGGTCGTCGTAGATGACAGACACTCAACACTGCGCAGGTGTTATTTTGTATTATTAGCTTCATTCGGCCTAAACAGGAAACCGAATCTAATCTTTCTAGGGACTTCCTGGACACGCTCTTGACCAAAAATGCACGGTTGCTCCAATCTGAATTTCATGTACTCCTGCATTTCTGATGTCTCGATGTCATTTCATGCATTGCTTGCTTAGAATAATTTGCTGGATGAATCTACCTTGTTGTTTTGGTTTTACTTTGGTTTTGGTCTCGTAGTTTTTGACTTTGATTGAACCTGGTGAACTTGCAGTTTTGTTTGCTTCTCAGCTTACCAAAGAAGACATCGTTTTTTGCATCCATGGCGGAGTCGGATCGCTCTCGATCCCCAGTGCCTGGACGAAATCGTGCTGAACCTCGGGCTCCAGTTCCACCGGTACGACAAGAACTACCTTTCTTCCCTCGATGGTGCGGACCTATGCAAACGGCAGTATGGCACTCACAGCAAATGTCCCGACCTCAGTCTCGACCTCAGTTTCGTCCTCAGTTTAATATACAACAGTCCGGAGCTTATCTTTTGAATCAATCCACTGGTCAACACTCCTCCATCCTGCCGGGCACATGGCCCAATCCACGATTCCCACCTGCACCTCCATCATCACCTCCACCTACTCTGGCATACTCCATTCCACCTCGCCTGACGACTCCACCTTGTTCACCTACCCTGCCGTGTCCACCAGCTCAAGCTGTCTCACCCAGCACTCCATCCATCCCTTCGTCTCAACCCCGTCATGCCGGCACTCCACATATGACTTCACCAGGAGGTCATACAACCTTTGATGAAAGTCGTACATACGGCTTTGATCTCAATCCTCATTGGCAAGAGGACAAAGACCACTACGATAATCAGAAGATCAACGGCTTGACCTTCCCACGAAGCATTCGTCAATCAGCCTTCACGCAAAAGTTGGACATTGAAGGATGTGATCCGTTGAAACTGCCCGTGGCGGCCCTGCTGTATCAGCAGGCCAACAACTTTTGGCTTCGCAAGCTGGCTCTACCGGAGACATCGCAGCAGTTGTGTTTATGACCGAGCTCTTGACGCAGCTCAGAAACAAGGAAGTTGATCTGGACAAAGTCTCCTCCTGCAAGGCCAGACAAGATGGAAAGCTCCTTGACAAGACCAACAACACCAAGTATGCGGCACAACAAATTTCTGACCTCATCCACAGTTGACATTGGCCCATGCCTCTATGCGTGGTTGTGCGCATGTCTGTGTTTCACATTTTTCCAATACTGAGATATACTGAGTTTCAGATTTCTGCGACCAATACTTTCTGATTTCTATATCGCATGTGTCAGCTTATGCCCCTGTTTGGCAAAGAATCTAGTGAACCCAGTGGTAGGTCCATACCCTTCCTGTCACTGAGCCATGCGCCTCTTGCCAGAGCTCAGAAGAAGGTTTCAAAGGCCTTTGCAGCAGAGGGAGCTGAGCGGGATGCCTTAAATCCACCTGGTACTGGTTCCTCTGGGGTGAAGAAACAACAGAGCAGGGTAACCAAGTCAAAGTTACCTTTTCAAGATGAATATGATGAATCACAATCCCAACCTTTCAAAAAGGGCCGTCAGACCAGCGGTCCTTTGGTGATGAAAATTCTAAACACAGAGATCAAAGTGATAGCGACGAACAATCCGAGAAAGATTTCGAAGCCACATCTTCAAGTGTATTTTCTCTGGGATGGCAACAGATGCTGAACTTCAAACAATCGAACTTTTGGAAAGAGAGTCAAGATGATGAATCTACTATCAAAAAGAAACGGTCCTATGAGAACACGAACCGGGAAGCCAATGCTGCATATCTCAATCAACAGAAAGCTGGATCTTTTAAAAAGACTGGTGCTGACCCTGCGAGAGTGAAAGCAGTTTTGGGAGAAACAATTTGTCGGTGTACCATGGATTCAAAACAAGGCAACCCTTTTGTTTTCAAAGGTTCTCTTTTGGGCAATATTACCTAGGTTGCTAATATTCATCCAACTTGTTAACATGTCCCTCACTGAGCGCATGGCTCCCCCGAGGTGCGAAAAAGGTGTGCTTCCAACAGTTCGCTGCCACAAAAGACCTGGAGAAGTTTGTTGCAGATTTCTGGGCGCTGGACAAGCGGGATCAGGATTCGCTGGTGCTTCAGATAATATTTCATTTCTTTTGCTTTGGGTTTGGGAAGAATACAACATGTGGATTGGGTTCATGCCCCACACTGGTTTCGTTCCCCACATGCAAAGTCTAAACAAACTAGTTACAACTTTCTTCAACATTCTTCAAATGGAACCAACTTGATTGGGTTCCACACCCCATGAAACAGATCAACTAAGTTACAACTTTCTTCAACTGGAACGGGCGCTACATCATCCCGGACACTTCTGGATCAACCGATGGGATTGAAGTGCCTTGCTGGCCTTCTAGGCATTGGCCAGGCTCGTCTGCGCAGGGCCACAACCTGTACTCCAGACCTCCGTTTTGGAAAGAAGGAGCACAGGTTCAAGGCTGGAACATGGTCAGCTGATGCCTTCTTCCAAATAGCCTATGACTCACTAGCTGAAACTCTTCCTGATCAGTTTCCTGTCTAAATTCAACTTGATGTGATGATATGTGATTCACCATTTTCTATGAGGATATACACTATTGTCAAGGATGTTTTCACAAGGGTCACTTTGATCAGTGAGGTTCATCCGAAGAGGTCGTGCCAGTGTCAGAAAGAAGGATCTCGATGATGACAATGCTAGTGATTTCGAAGAGATTGCATCTGATGTTGAGGAAAGTGAGCTCAAAGAATGGCTGAGCTCCCCACACATCAAAACCAAGGGCCTGATTCCTGGCGAAACAGTGATTAGGAAATTCCTACCTCCGGGAACCATTACTGACCTATACGAGCATTACAAGGCAACACAGGAACTCCTTGGTGGGTATGCAGTCTCGTACTTTTGAAGCAATGGGCAAACTTTATTGGTCAACATTACAAAGATTTCACATGGTATCGATTATCAATCTATCACTTTTTGTCTTGAATATATATGTTGTTTCCATTTGTTTCCCATACAACTTGTTGGAAACCAAAAGCCATCTTCCAATTCAAAAATGCTCAGGTATGGTACCTTCTCCGATGTCTACCGGCGTAGATGGCAGGATATATTGAGATTCCGGTCCAAGAACCTTTTCACCAGTTGTGAAGTTTGCTACGCCCTCAAACAGGGGTTGGGAGATAAAACCCTCTCTTTGGAATCAAAGCTCCAAGTCCTCAAGGAGTACAGGTCACATTTACATTCACAGTATTGCGACCGTACTGTTATCTGGCGTCTTCAAGCTGAAAGTGCCGAACACAACTCTGAAGTTCTTCTAATTTCGACTGATGGTCTTGACCAGTCAAAGTTCGCGCTGCCCAGGGAGCCGGAATTGCGCAACAACGCAGCATTGAAGCTAGGCTAACCCCAAAAGAGTTAGTTACTATATTATATACATCTTTGACTAAGTGATATTCCCATGAAACAATTACTAGGGAGAAGGTGAAATAAGGGTTTCCGAAATTGTTTAGACAACCAACTTTTTGAAACTGTTTGGGGTATCCATGGTTTTGCGGATTTTCCCATTTCGACCAGCTAAGGGCGAAGTACCAGCGTCCCAGGGTAAAAGTTCACGGCGCATGGGCCTTTGGATATACCCTCAATGTCTATATACTGGATGAGGTGGCAAAGCATGACTCCAGTGCCATATTGGAAATATTGTCGCAGACAATTGAAGATGTTACTGGGCTTCTTTAATTGAAGTTGAGGCCACCCCCCTTTTAACCTTTTGGAAACTTGTTAGGTACCCAGACCCATCAGGCCTGCCTGCCACGCCAAGGTATTTCAGATCTGCAGAGAAGATGGCCGGCCACCGCCATCGTGCTTCTTGCTCAACGTTCCTGGCCAATTCAGACCACTTACTGTCAGCACCTTTTTCTCAAATATGAGGTTTGAATTTGATACCAAATATAAGTTCGCACCCCAAAGTCAATGTTAAATTTAGATGTTGGGAGCCAACTCTGAGGCTGACAACACAGTGAGAGAGTGCAAGAACCAATATGTCTTGACCTACCTCAGCCTACTAGTATCTCAAGGCAGATTCAAGACCACAGGCTTTTGCAGCCTAAGGAAGGGTCACACACATTGTCGTGTGGGAAACTTGGTTACCAATTCACATTGTAATGTTATGTGGCCCCATACTTTATGTGATGTTTTTTTAGGAAGTTATGGCCATTGATACTCACATTTTTTGTGTGGAACCAACAGCTAGCTAAGACCAGTGCTGGGGAATCATCAGTCGTCGAGTTGGATGTGAACAAAATATACAGGATGCCAACGATGTTGTGAAGGTGGTGTTGGATGAGTTATGTAAACCTTCCATCAAAAACTGGGTGGGGGCATCCTCTCGGATCAAAGTGGAAAAGCTGGATGCCACACGTGATTGGCGTGCACACCTACCTTCAACTGGGGTGAAACTTGAGGGTGGCTTATTGAAGGATGATACTGGGAATCATTTCTTCATGTTTCTTCAACGACGAGGCACAGAATGGAAAATGAACAACTGTTAAAACATCTTTTTTAGATTAAACTTCTTGGCTTTCCCCCCATTATATCCAGGTTACCTCATAGAGACTATGTTTAAAACAACCCTTGTTAGATCCAACCACAATGCCAAATAGCCTGCCCATCCCATTCAGATGTGCCACCTACGTTCACGGACCGCATCAATGTTGGCTCCTTCCGTGGTGTTCCATCACCACAGGATAGCGTGTGTTTCATCAAGAAGTATATATCTGATTCAGAACTGGCACAGGATCCATTATTGGTGATGACACATGGCCGTGCTACAAACATGTCTCTGGTTCCGGAATCCAAGATTCTTATCTTCATTGGCTGTGAATATACTTTGGGCCTGGGAAGTTTGGAATCTTTTTACCTAACCATATCAAATTTGGATACTTCCCGATTTGGTTACTTCCCATACTTCCCGATGCTTTCTTTTTTTATAGCCATCTTAAATTTAATTTTTCTGTTGTTGATTTCAATGCCTCATCAGGAAAGACAACAACCATACACCATTGGTGGCATCGAAATGGAAAGATTTGGCACATGCTGTTGTATTCTGTTACGGAGAGAAGTACAGGAAGAGTGCTGATTATCTAGAGCAGCTTTCCAACAATTCCATTTGGCGAAATGCAGAACTCAAACCTTTGCCCTGGCATTCGGCACCTCCAGCTCAAGGGAATGCCCATGCTCCACTGGTGATGCACCCTGCTGTTTTGAATTCCTTGGCACCGGCCATGCCGCTCAGGGCGGTCTTTGGAGGCAACAGAAACATCTAGCGTGAAAAGATGGGGCTGTCAAGGGAAACATGATTGTTTTTTTGGGGTACAACAATTGCCCCAAAATAATCTGTTGGGGAAATCCGGGAACCCAAAATGTTCCACAATCTGTTCTGGAAATTTTGGGGAACTACACACCAAATGCATCTGGAAACTTTGTTCTGGGGACCTGCTATTCCTCTTTCAAACAGATGATATGGTCATGGATTGAAGATTGAATTATTTCCATGCCTTCATGGACATAGGACCCAATTGTAAAATCAGAATCAATGCGGTGATGGGGTTAGACCCAAAATGTTCGATGCACTATTCGGATTGGGACCAACATTTTCGATGCACTTTTTTTTGAGGGTGACCCAAAACTTTTCGATGCACTTTTAGGAAATGACCAAACTTTTCAATGCACTATTGGGCTGGGACCAAACTGTTCGATGCACTATTGGTTTGGGGCCAAACTTTTCGATGCACTATTGGGATTGGGATCAAACTTTTCGATGCACTCATGGGTATGACCCCAAAATGTTCGATGCACTCAAGGGTATTGCCCCAACATTTTCGATGCATTCATGGTTATGGCCCCAACATTTTCGATGCACTCATGAGTATGGCCCCAAATTTTTCGATGCACTATGTCTCGACGAGTGCATTGACTTTGGATCCTTCCATTTTGGGGTTTCAATTTTCAAATTATTCCATTTTTGACTGGGAAACAAGGTTGTGTCGATTGATATTTTTTCAAATTCCTGAAAAATTCTCGATGCCCTACCCATGGGAGACACCATTGACTCAAATTGGTAAAAAATCATGTAGTTGAAAAAAATAAAACAGTTTTTTTTTTGAACCATGATTTTTTTTCAATTCAGGTCGATGCACTGGGAGTAGGGCAGCGCATTGAACCTAACTTATTTTTTTGGAACATGAGTCGATGCACATAAGCTTGTTGGATTTTCAACTTCTTAGAATTTGCAGGACCTTTTCATCTCCAAAAGCAAAGTAGTTGGGTATGACCCATCCCTTCAAACAGAAGGTTGAGGAACTCGCGCATCTCGGCGCTCCCAGTGCCGGCGCTTATGGTGAACCACCTGCAAAGCGGGCATGTTCAATGTTTGAGAAGAAGCTGCAAAAGCTTCCTGCTGGAGATTTGACTCTGGCTCGGGACTGCCCCTATCAATGCAGTAGAATGGAATGTTGTAAACATGATGATTTTCAAATCAGCACATCAACAAACTTAGCACATCATCAGAATCAAACATGTGACTTCTTCTGGGAAAAATACCAAAGTGCAACCACACCATTTGCCCTTGGAGGACATTTTGGACTATGTCATGTCCTTTCGGAAGGAAGACTTGAATGATGGTTTGCTTCACCCAGCTCAGTTGGTAGTTGACCTTTTGGGGGGCCAAGACGAGGAGAACCGTAGGCGTGGTCAACTGGAGGCATGGTACCAGGAGTATGCAAGTGGTCGAGGCCTTGCTTTCAAAAAACCTGGCTTTGCATCTTGCCAAGCATAATCCATAAAATGTTTTTACGTTCAGCCAAATATTTCGATCATATTATCTTGGATGTGCTGGCTGTTTGAAATGGGAAGCCTAGGCACTGGACTCCAGCCATGATGATGAGACAGTCAAGATTCCTTTGGTATGTCTGCGGTTCATCTCTTAGATCTCTCACACGAAGCTGTCAAAATCAAACAATGTCTATTTCCCCTGATGTATCCAAAATCAGCACTTAGGTTTGACAAGCCAGATGCTGGCTTACCAATCTTGGAGGATTGGCTCACCATCTTCGAGTCAATTTTCTTCGCCGGAGTGGAGCTACAACGTGAACCACTGGACTGCACCATGAATGGCAGTGATGGTGCCATGGTTTCAAAAGTTTATAGTGTTAGTTTGAAACATGTTTCAACTGATCTCCATTTAAATAATGAAACATAATGAAACATTATTTCAATAGAAGGGATATTGTATGGTTGCCCTGCAGGGTCATGTGGCTATCAATCCATTGGGCAGATCAAAGGGTGGACCCGGTCATCAAACCATTGCCCTGATCCTCATTGCCGCTTCTGAGTTAGATCATGTGGACCCATCAACGGAAGAGAAACTGAAACCGTTGAGCAAGGTTTTGGACAAAGCCTGTGCCCTTCCTTGCCATGTGTTTTGGCTTTTAACTATTTTTTTGCACTATGGGGGTGGCCAATCAGTAAGATAATTATCTTGGAACCCATTTTTTGGGGGCTTGGTACTTGCCAACTAAGATGCAATTTGGGTTGAACTTGGAAGCCCAGAGTTTCCAGAACATGGTGAACAGCTTTCGTGGGGCTGAACGTCAAGCTCCAAATTGCCTTCAAATGGCCCTCCGCTTCAGTCGCCTCATGGAGCTTGCTGAGCAGGAAGGACGTCACCAAGCCAGCATGTCTGGAGAAGATCGCCTGCGGGCAATCATTGCGGACTTCCATGAGTGCCCAGGGCTGGCAAACAATAACCATCTGAATGAGGACAAGATCAAAGCAATCAACAACCTTATCAGTGGTTCTTGCCCTGACACTAGCTTATTGATTCAGTTGGGGTTCAAAAATAATTTTCTTTAGCTCGGTTGAGGGGACTCCACAAGCAAGAGCTGAGTTCCGCAGGGGGTGTCAACAACTTAGCTTAACAAAAAATTGAATGTATTAGATAAGGAATGTACTTCATCAATCTTATGCTATCTTATGGAGAAGGGCGGTGAGAAGTTGATCTGGCCGTGACCGTGCATCACGGCCAGCCGTGCACGGTCAACCATGGTCACGGCTGACCGTGCTGACCGTGAGCCCGGCTGACCGTGTTCCTGGCCGTACACGGTTGGCCGACCCGTTGGCCGGCTGACCGTGTTCCTGCATGGCCGTGCACGGTTGGCCGGCCCAGTTGGCCGGCTGACCGTGTTCCTGGCCGTGCACGGTTCGCCGACCCGGTTGGACGGCCGACCGTGTTCCTGGCCGTGCACGGTTCGCCGACCCGGTTGGACGGCCGACCGTGTTCCTGGCCGTGCACGGTTGGCCGACCCAATTGGACGGCCGACCGTGTTCCTGGCCGTGCACGGTTGGCCGACCGGCCGGCCGTGTTCCTGGCCGTGCACGGTTGGCCGACCCGGTTGGCCGGCCGACCGTGTTCCTGGCCGTGCACGGTTGGCCGGCCCGGTTGGCCGGCTGACCGTGTTCCTGGCCGTGCACGGTTCGCCGACCCGGTTGGACGGCCGACCGTGTTCCTGGCCGTGCACGGTTGGCCGACCCGGTTGGCCGGCTGACCGTGTTCCTGGCCGTGCACGGTTGGCCGGCCCAGTTGGCCGGCTGACCATGTTCCTGGCCGCGCACGGTTCGCCGACCCGGTTGGACGGCCGACCGTGTTCCTGGCCGTGCACGGTTGGCCGACCCGGTTGGCC